TTTTCGAACCATAGTGCTCAAGGGTTGCTTATCGTACTTTGGGAGCAAGTTATTTTACTCGAGGGTTAATTTATCGTACTCGATTACTTAGGTTATCGAGATCAGGAAGTTTATCATTTTTCACAATGGGTTAGATTAACAAACTAACGTTAAATCCTGGATTAAATAGACAAATTTTTTTTTTAATGTAATAAAACTAAACCCGGTTCTGTATCTCATTTTTGTTTAACCTCGACGGGATCCAACTGGTGGTCGATAGATTAAGTGAACCTGAGTTGACTTTGATGTAAAACACAAGTGATTAATACATTGAGTCCCTTTTTTTTACAAAGGCTTACCATCAGTGTGTGTGTGAGGATATTTACCCTCCCTTCTCTCTTCTCTCTATCATTTCTCTGGCGCACGCACGCACGCTAACTCTCAGTTTAGGGTTTATAGTTTATGCCGGTCGGGTACAAATGGCTTTACACTCTCATGTTGTCATGTAATCAAACCTGTTTATACGACCAGGTAAACACAAAGTCCAACTGTATTGTGATAATTAGTTACCTGAGGTGAATCTACTTAGCGTAATCTGTCCGTCTGTCTGTCTGCCAGTTCCCTTTATAAGCTAGGAATATCACAAACTTAACACATGCCTACCTATACAGTATATATTGCATCTATCGTGTTTATTTTTTTCTTCTAAATAACGCAAAACGTTTTATTCTATTAAACATTTTTTCTTTTTTACTGAGAGCAGAATGCCATTATAGGATTTAATTATATTTGCAATAATCCAAAGGCAAATGGACTTGTTAATTGCTTGTTAATATATTTGTGAGCGCTACCATGCATGTGTTAACTGTGTCACCCCGTGTTGAGTTATGGTACTGCACAGTAAGTGTTATAACCTAACCTAACCTAACCTAACCACAGTTTAAAGGGTTATATAAGGTGGTCACTTTTAGCCCGACATTTTTTGGAACAGGTGTGTGTGTGTGTGTTCATTTTGTTTCTTGTGTTATCTGTTAATACAGCCTGAGAATAATTATGGTGCCATTTTCTCCCTAAAGTAACATTAAGGGAACATAACTATTGAAGGTCGAGTCTTATTGTAACCTTGACGTCATATTGTCAATAGAGTTAAGTGAACACCTCCAGTATAGTCTCTGTATAGTTTTGCTGTCATTTTGTCTTGACTGGGACTAGGTAAGTGTATCTCTTACATACATAATGTACAGTAGTTTTAACACCATTTTGTTTTGGTTGCTACTAAGTAAACAACGACCACAACTGATAAATACACATAAACAAAACAAAACAAACAAATATTTTAAGTTCATTACTGGCCGTTGTACAAGTTGGCAATTAACGAAAACTTCACCAGTTTGCACCAGAGACCATACCCTCAACAGTAACATATGTGGTAATTGCAATGGACGTTGTTAGGTGAAAGACATTGCAGTTTCTTCGTACACGCTTTTATTTGTATTGTTTGGCAAATAATAAAAAATATTTAGATGGAAGGAAACTTGTTTAAAGCAGAGAAAAATCACAAAGTGAGCTACTGTTGGCCTTGGTGGTGGTCCGACACACCCAGTCCTAAACACAAATAGTAATGCTGATGTTTTGTACACATGATACGCCTCACAACCAACCTTGGTCTATTGTGGGCTTTGTACTGTAACTCTAATACAGATGAAGTTAAAGCACTGATGGTTGTTAAAGTTTAACCCTTAAAGTGAGCTTTGTAACACAGTCAAATTCCTGAGACTGGTCGTCTTATAACTATGTAACCATTACACTGAACGTGAGGTAAGATAATACAGTAATTTAATGTATATTTGATAATGCCAGTGTTTATATACTTGATATAAGTTCACATTGGTTAAAAATTTATTACAATTTACCACAACTATGATGTAATTTGTGATATTGATCTTATAGAATTATTTACGTCCTGGGGCCTATTAGTTATCCCTTTCCATTCAGTTATATATGTTATTTATTATTTATTTAATAAACACACACACACGCTCGCTCTCTCTCCTCTTCCCTCTCTCTCTCTCTCTCTCTCTCTCTCGCATATGCTGTATCCTTCATGTATAAAGGTGGTTCACGGAGCTGAAATACACTAATGGCAATTAACTAATTCAACAATATCTACCCATCGTTCTGTACACATGTTGTATTTTTTTGTTCAATTATGTCCGTAAATGTTGGTAATTGTACATAAATGCCACCTGCTCCCCACTGTTCCCCATATTAATGAGGCTACACTGAAGTGATTATGAAAATACTAATGACTTGAAATGAGGTTTTTATCGTTTCAATTGGCATGGCTTCTGGCAGTCAACCTGTCCTTGACCACCCCCCTCCCCCACAAGCGTAGGTCAAACACTAATGTTACAGCCCTGTTTATGTTTCCTGTCCTTTCTTTGAGATTAATATTTTTGTCAGAGGAAGTGTGAGCATCTTGTCTGCCCAGTGTTAATGTAGTTGTCTTATTAAGTATTCGTGTGTGTGTGTGCGTGTAATAATAATAATAATAAACGGTTTATTAATAGAGTTGCAGCCGGTGGCTGAAAATATACAGACTTACATTAGATTTAGACATAATGATATAATATGCATTGAATACATTTGCAGGGCTGTGCAGTACATAAATCAGGGTTGTTTATTACTTTAACAATAGATGGGATGGTGCTGTTCTTATATCTATCGGTGCTGGCTCTTATGGGCTGAATTTTGTTGTAGTGGCGGACTGCGCGAGTTGGGTGGGGGGCTGCAGGTGGCAGGAGGTCGCGATGGCGAGGGTTGGTGCAGTAGTCCACGGCCAAACCTTTCCAGTGCTTGGTGGTGGAGGTCACTGAGGATGGCATTTCCAGGGTGGAGAGAGCGTTGGTGGCAGGGTATTCTGCGCCGAGCATGATTCTGCAGGCCCTTTTCTGCCTTCTCTGCTGACGTTGTTGGGTGGAGTTGAGAAGACGACCAGGCTGGTGACGGCGTGTGTGTGTGTGTTAATTAAATAAATAATAAATAACATATATAACTTACATGTGTGTCATGCAAGTGGCGACCTGTTGTGTAATGGTCAGCATACTCGCCTACCAGGTTGTCACGGACCCGGTTCGACAGGCAGGGTGAAACTATGGGCAAGTTTCTTTTTGCCATTTGCCTCTGTCTACCCAGCAGCAATTGGGAACCTGGATGTTAATCGATTTGCGGATCGTGTTCCGGGGTAATGATTAGCCAGTGCAGTTAGCGAGTTGTCCGGTCTTCTCGGACTATTCCTTGACACTGGGTCACGCAGCTCGTTAATTCAGGGTGGCCCTTGGGCCGGCCATCCCTGTCACGAGGTTAACCGTATATATATATATATATATATATATATATATATATATATATATATATATATATATATATATATATATATATATATTATATATATATATATATATATATATATATATATATATATATATATATATATATATATTTTTATTTTTTTTTTTTTATCCATGTGTATCTGCATCCGTGTGTGTGTATATAACATGTACTGTACGTGCGGTTGTAACTAATTGATTCCTATGTGTACGAATTATGAAAGTAGGTTTGTGTGTATGATGGCTGGGTTAGATTATTAGATTTGGTTAGGTTAGCTTGCAAGTTACGTTAGTGTAACTTATGTTATTTAAAGTTAGTTTAGGTTATGTTAGGTTAGTGTAGGTTAGATTATAAGGTTAGGTTATGTTATTCGAGGATAGGTTAGTTAGGTTATTCTAGATTAGGTTCGGTTGGGTCAAATTCGGTTAGATTAGGTTAGTTAAGTTAGGTTAGGTAAAGTTAGGTTAGGTCAGGTTAGGTTGGTTAAAGTTACGTTAGGTTAAGTTAGGTTAGTGTACGTTAGGTTGGTTAAGGTTTTTGGTTAGGTTAGGCTAGGTTAGGTTAGATTTCCTGATATAACTGAAGAACATTGGTGAATATCGTGTCTTGGTTAGCGTAAAAGATGTGCAAGTTGTATAGGTTTTTTGGGTCTGGTAATAGTGGTAACCCCCCGCAACCCTCCCAACCAGTTCCCCCTCCTTTCCCTCGCTGCCGCATCATACCCATCAAAGACTTTTGGTAGTGAGGGGTTTGAGTGAAGCAAATTGAAAACATCGATAAAAGAGAATAAATGAAAATTGTGATGTTTCTTACGTTTGAAGTTTGGAATGTGTTAGAGCAACTTTAAGCGTGGGCTGTATGTGGAGTGTGTAGAATGATGTGTGTGTGTGTGTGTGTGTGTGTGTGTGTGTGTGTGTGTGTGTGTGTGTGTGTGTGTGTGCGTTGAAAATACAAACAAAATCACAGATTCAAACAAAAACGAACTATACAACCTCTTATGGTTCTGCATGGAATGTCAGTACCCTTCGGGATACTGGCACTAATGAACGTTCTGAAAGAAGAACTGCCCTTGTGGCAAAAGAGCTGGCTAGGTATAACATCGACATAGCAGCCATTAGTGAGTCCAGGCTCCCAGACGGGGTCGACTCACAGAACAGGGCCCTGGCTATATCTTCTTCTTGAAGGGTAACCCTGCTGAGGAAGACCACATTTATGGAGTTGGCTTGCCATTCGCCAATCCACCTTCATAGGCTAATTGAAAGGCCTGTTGGGATCAACGAGCGCCTAATGACGCTCCAGGTCCCACTGAATCACTCGTCATGCCTTCTCCATCAGTGCTTAAGCCAACACTGGATGCAGAGGATGACATCAAAGAAGCCTTTTACGTCGACCTTCACAGAGTGCTAACCTCTCTCCGCAGAAGATTAGGTTGTGCCCGTAGGTCTTCAATGCCAGAGTTAGAAGAGATGATGACATATGGCAGAAACCATAGGGAGAAATGGAGTAGGCAAGTGTAATCCCAATGGCCTACTCCTCCAACAAATTATGCTTACACAAACTCTCTATCACAAATACCTTGTTTAGGCAGGCCGACAAGTTCAAGGATTCGTAGCAACACCCACGATCCGAACATGGCATCTCATTACTACATCATTGACAGAAAGAGATCGCCGAGACGTCCTCATCTTGAGCCGCAGCGGGCTCGTCAGCGCAAACTCTTACTTCAAGTCGATAAAACGGTGAAGGCAACAAGCCTCCATAAAAAGTTTAACACTAAGAGTTTGGAGGATCGGCGGCAGCACGTGCTTTCTGAGAGCAGCTCGAACGAAAGCTGATAAACAACCTGACGACAACAGCTAAATCAGTGCCGAATGGGATATTCTCGACACTGTCATGACAAAACCTCGGACAAAGCTGATACCTTCCACAAGAAATGGAGGCCCAGCGCGGATATTCGCAATCAAAGGAACGAACAGTTTGCAAAATAATGCATATAAAAGTTTAAACTTACAGATCAACACAAGCTGCAAAATTTTTTTAATTCCATTAAAACTTTATGGACCAATAACTCATGGCGCAGCACCCCATTCATCCGACGTGCTCTATTTAAAGCCAAGGAATGTCATTCAATGCTGAAGAAATACACTCGCTGCTTACGCTAGAAGACCGATGTGGATGTCTGACTAACCAACAGGTCCCTCAGCCCCCAGAGCTTACCCCACCTCAGCTATCCTTCATCCCTGGATTAAATAGCTACTGCCCACTCTAGATGAAAAATAACAAACCCTCAGGCCTTATGGAATCGGCGAGGATATGAAGTAGGACCTCTGCTCACCAGACGTCTGAATCTCTCCAGGAGAGTATATAGAGACCGGTCAGACTGTAACGACTGCGGATCTCGCTGCTGTTTTGCTAGCTGAAGATTATCTGCAGTCCTCCTAGACAATTTCTTCCTGAGGCTGACAACTTCCTCCCAGAATGTCACTGTGGTTTGAGACCATCACAAGGCTCCACTGACATGATCTTGCTGCTCCACCAGATACAGAAGTAGAGAGCAAGCGTCGTGACCTGTACATGGCCTTCATCGACCTGACTAAGGCCTTCTCCTCAGTCAACAGGAGCCCCTGGTTAACCCTCAGCAGTTTTGGCTGCCCACCGGAAGATTCATCTCCATCGGGGGAACAACTCCACGATGGCGTGAACGGCAGTGACCTGTACAACGGCACCCAGTCTGGATCATTCCCAGCAATACGTAACTTCTA